TTTTAGCCCAATGCAAATAATTTCCTTCATCTTCCCAAGAACTCCAGTTTGTCCCTGTCCCTCTACATGGCCCACATTACCATACCAAATACTGCTGAGTCACTACAAAGATGCTTTAAAAAATTACTGTTTTATTTTTTAGGGCAGTTTTAGGTTTATAGAAGAATTGAGCAGATAGTGTGAAGGGTTCCCACATACCCCCTCACTCTACTCCTCAACCTCCCCAACAGTTTCCCTTACTAACATCTTGTATTACTGTGGTTCATTTGTCACAAATTATAAACCAATATTGACACATTATTATGAACTAAAGTCTATAGTTGACATTAGGATTTGGTCTCTGTGTTATACTGTTCTAGGAGTTCTGACAGATGTATAATGCCTGCAGCTGTCAGGGCTTCAGTTTCCTCTAGTGTACTCTTACTTTCCCCTGTTGTGTTGGGGTTTCTTAAAGAAAGCCCTTAGAAACTCCTTAAATAGAGCCTTGTCTCTCTTTCAATATGCTATGATCATAGTGGAGCCCTACTGATGTGGAGGTCAAGGTGTTGGTGAGGGGAAGTGTTTCAGAGTTTTATGATTAAAACCAGTTTGTTTTTTAATGGGCCTGAGACTCGGGGCTGTGACCTTCAGAAGAGTTTCTTGGCCTTTTTTCCTTCCTTCCCTAGTGTAAGACATATGGCTAGAGGGAACTAGAGCTGTCTGCCATTCCCCTAGGATGCATGCCCCTGGTAAAGCAGTTTACCTTGAGGGCAGGACCTCAGTTCTCTGATGCATCCAAGAAGAGTTGTTGCTCAGTTTGCTCAGCATTTTTCCTGTTGTGAGGATGGGAGTGATGACTTACAAACTCTTCCCATGTCAGAATCATGACCAACAATCTGCTTTTAACTGTGATAATTCTCATGAACAAACAATGTCTGGAAGAAGCCTGCACAGAGCCAATAATGAACTCTCAGAAAGAAAAGCTACCCAAAGCAATCTATGGACTCAATGCAATCCCTATGAAATAACAAGGACATATTTCACAAATACTAGAAAAAATACTCCAAAAATTTATATGGAACCAAGAAGACCCCAAATAGCCACAGCAATCCTGAGAAAGAAGTATAAAGTAGGAGGGGTAACAATACCGGAAATGCAATAATGAGAATAAGCAAACCATGATTAGGATGGATCATACATAATGTTAGCAAAAGAAGTCAGACACAAAAGGGTACATACTGTATGGTTTCATTTATCAAATGTTCAGAACAAGGACAAAGTAAAAACTGATAGTGACGGAAATCAGGAGAATGATTTTCCTGGCAGGAGCGGGAAAGTGCATGGCACGAGGCGGGACTCGAGTTAGCTTCTATTTCATGACCCAAGTGGTGATTAAATGGGTGTGACCTCTTGTGTACTTGACTACAATTTTCACTTAAAAGTAAAGAATCTAGCACTGTCTATACACCGACTTAGAGAGGTAATCATAATATGCTATAGCAAGTAGAAAAAGAAAATGAATTCTAGATCTCCAATATAATATAATTGCATATTGGTAGAAAAAATAAACAGGTAAACTATTATATCCAAAATAAATCTATAATTGAATTTTTGCTTTATGAAATTTTTGGATTTTTAAGGAAGTTAGCAATTAGTTACACATTTGAGTCCAAAAATAACCAGAAGTAATAAAGAAACAGTTTTCTAGTTAAACATTCCACACTTCCAAATGTGTCCCCTGGAGTGGCACAGTATGGCACCCTTGACAGCATATTGTCTGTGGTACCAAGTAGCTGAGTCTTAGCTGCTCTAGTTCTAGAGTTCTCTCAGGGACAAAAGGTGAACAGGTCCTCTACATGCAATGTCAATGCACTTTCATTAGCCTCACTCAACTTATGTTCAAAGCAAATTCTGTGCAGGTCCCTGTGGAACACTCATCAAGCAAAGGTAAAAACCCCAAAGGCCAGTGCACAGACACCCAACTCAATCCCAGAGAAGGGTAGTGTGGTATAGTTACCCATGTCAACCACTTGTTCATGCACTATTTACTTAACAAAAGGCACAAAGGATAACTACCATTTGCCATGTCTTAGGTGTGACACTCAATAAGCTTGTCTGCAAACCTCTAGTTAGACACACTCCAACTTACTTATGCTAATTTCACTACTAAACGGCTTTTTAGATAATCATTTTTCTCAACCAATTTATATTATAAACTAGAGGCCCAGTGCACAAATTCATGCACAGGTGGGGTCCCTCAGCCTGGCCGGCTATCTGAGCTGAACGGGGCCATGGGAAGTTGGCCAGTGGGGGGAGGGGCCGTGGGAGGTTGGCTGGTAGTCCCGATTGGGGTCACTGGGGCTGGTTGGCCAGGGGGAGGGACCGTGGGAGGTTGGCCAGCTGCGGGAGGTAGGCTGCAAGAGCGCACTGACCACCAGGGGGCAGCTCCTGCATTGAGCGTCTGCCCCCTGGTGATCTGTGCGGAGTCATAGTGACTGGTCGACCAGTCATTTGGTTGGTCAGTTGTTCGGTCGCTTAGGCTTTTATATATACAGATTAATTAAAACTTTCTGTCACCTAGTTTCACTTTTTTAGATTAGTTTTACTTATAGATTAATTAAAACTTTCTGTCACCTAGTTTAACATGAATATGTTATGAGAAAAAAAATGTTGAATCTCTACAAAGTATATTTTTAAAATACTTAAAAATAATGGGTAGCGTTTAAAAAACATTTTTATTATATCAGAATAAAACTATTTAGACAATAAAGATGTTTCCAAGTAAAAATTGAAAACATACCCAATATATGAAAAACATAAGCTACCTATGTTGTGTACACATGTGTACACAATCTCTAAAAATCAAAGTTATGCTATTTTCCCTCATGGGAAAAATAGATAACAAATTTTAGCACATTTTCCTTAAAACAACAACAACAATAATAACAACAACAAAAATATATTCAAATCAATGGCCAGATCAAAAAACAAACACACACAAAACAAAGGCAAAGATTTAGAAATGATGCTCAGATTTATAGAATTAAAAAAATAAAAGGAAAATATTAAATAATCATTTAATATCACAACAGTAACAGATTCTCATTATTTTGTCCCATGCAGTTACGAACTAGAGAAAATGACCTTATAAAATAATGAGGATTAGTCTACTATAAGGAAGAACCAGTTTGTGTGACAAAAGGCTAGAATAGAAAGCAGGTGCTAAATAAATCCTGTTCATTTTCATGGACTAGAATGGATCCCAGAAGGCATTTTCTCAACAAGAGAGGGTTATGGACCCCAGTAGCTAGCTGTGGGCTCTGCATCAGGCAGCGTGCATTCCTGCACCTCTATGTCATTATTGCCCCAAATCTGTGATCATAGACCTTCACCATGAGGACATCGAAATATTTAAAGAACACAGTGGATGCACGAATAAATAAACGCATATGGTTATAAATGATGCAGAAAAGAACAAGTGCATACTAAACATCTTTCCCATTATGCAAATGCATTTTGCTAGTGATCTTTTCTATTTTTGCAAAGATGCTCCTCATTACTACTTTTACTATGTGAACTACAAAATTGTGTATCTGTTTTAACAGGAACATATACATAATTACTCTGTGGAGATGTTTTCAAAAGTGTCAAAATATAAATTAACACACTGACACTTTTTTAGGGCTCCATGTGCCATTCCAAAACATGTTTACAGAATAGATTAGAACATTTGTATGAGGCAGTTTCTGAAGTATCAGTTATTTATTTTATTTTCTGTAAAGCGCTGTTCAGAACCAGTTATGTCACATAGAAATCCCTCTGGTTATGGAGAAATGTGTAGGTGCACAAGGAAACCAGAGTAACTTCACTGCCCCCCATTTTCTGAGAAGATTCCTCCCTCCTCTGTGGCTGAGTTCCCAACCACAAGCTGAGCTTGGGTCCTCCCTGAAATGAGGTGAGCTCTGCTCATAGAAGTCACAGCCCTTTTGTTCAATGACTGCCAAGCACACTGTGTTTCTCTAAGAAAAGTAGAACAGGTGATTGCATTGGAGATGAAGTGCAGTGTTACCAAATTGGGCTAATTTGTTGCATTTTTGGCCAAGTCAGAAGAAAACTCACTATCTTTTTCTAAAAGATAAACAGATCTCCTACCATGTTTTGGGAGATACAAACATAAGGAAATACTATGGCTAAAGACATGATACTAATTAATTACATATGCTTCAATCTAACCAAGTGAAAAGTATTGCACTAAATTAATGCAAACACGGGATAATTTATTCCTTAGCTTGCTACAATAGAACCTCAAAATTATAGATGAGATTTTGCCTTAATTGGCAAGAAACATAATTAAATGAAAACATGTAGTTCTTTTTCTCATACTCAGATTTAAATAATTAAACTTTTTTCCCCAATAACCTTCTTGCCTGTCTTACTAATGAGGTACATTTCCAGGTTCCCCCAACTTATAAAAGTGCACTGAGCCACTTCTGGTTTCCCTCCATGCCCTCTGCAGATGGCAGAAAAATATTCTACCACTGAGACTTTTACTTCCAAAAGCTTAGATTTGTCCTATCATGAGTGAGTACCAAAGAAATCAGAGTCTAGTCCAGCCGTGGGCAAACTACGGCCCGTTTGAAATGAATAAAACTAAAAAAAAAAAGACCGTACCCTTTTATGTAATGATGTTTACTTTGAATTTATATTAGTTCACACAAACACTCCATCCATGCTTTTGTTCCGGCCCTCCGGTCCAGTTTAAGAACCCATTGTGGCCCTCAAGTCAAAAAGTTTGCCCACCCCTGGTCTAGTCCTTTCACTTTAAAAATGAGAAAATTGAGATTCAGAGTAGTGAATAACAGAAATTATTATTCATACGGTTGGGACTAGACCACAAGTCTCTTGACTTCCAGGCAGTTCTCCCCACCATTCCCTAGAGGAATGTTAAAACCAACCAACCAAACAAGCAAGACATCTTCACAAAAAAAAATTATACTCTGTGGTTTTGCTAGTGTTTTTACCTCTGAAGAGATTATCCAAGTCATTATCTTCTTTTTCTTTGATTTTCAAACACTTTGCCTGCTGTACATGTCTGTACAAAGAACAGAAATAAAACCTGGATTCATTATCCTGTGAGGTAGGAATAACTCATGACAGCAGCACACATTTAAATAGAAGCCACAGGGTAAGCAATAGAGAACTAGTAGGTATTTTCCTCCACAGAAACTTGGTCAGAATTTTTTTTCAATTTAATATTTAAAAAATACATTTTTGTTAAGGAACTCTAACTTTGACATGAAGACTTAAAGGTCCCCCCTCCTCCATTATTGCCAAATGTTTTTAAAACTCTCTGGAGAATAATCTCTTCAGATTCTGAGAAGGAGTTACTAGGGAGAGTAGGTGGACAAATAATAATTGCTACTGATTATTTTAGTGCTTATTTTAATCAGAAGATTATATACATTGTGCCTGAATAAGTGTATAAAGTAATTTTCCCATATTGCTGAATGTCAGAGAATTAATTAACTTTTAAATGTTCCAGTATGCTGTAAGGACTAATTTTGTAACTCGAATGGAACTTTATAAAAATTTGAGGCTCAGAGTTTGTAATGAATGTGGTAGTTTCTACCAGGTAAAATGAAACTTTTTCAATGTTGCTAATTACCTAATAATTAATTTTAGGTGGACAGAACTTGAGGTAGTTGATCAATTCATCTGTAATATTTGTGATTTTAATGAAAATGATAATAACTTGCTTTGCAAATATATTTTGTAATTGCACTTGGATAGCAGCTCTCTCATTTTATCCTCAGGAATATGCCTTTGAAGTAGGCATGCAAACACTGTTTCAATTTCTGATTTAAATTAGGAATCTCATTCAGTTACTCAAACCTTACATACAAGATAAGTGACTTGTACAATAATTGAGGTAATTTTATCTATAGGCTCTATAAATGTGTATGTCATGGTAGAAATACATTCAACTTATAAGTGAGGTTTGTTGTTGTTTTTTTTAAACAATTAAGGCTGTTTTTCCCCCCCATAAAAACACACGCCAAGAAACTGAGAAAGGATTTCTACTGAAATACTGAAATCCTATTTTTGGACCTTGAAAGGAGGCCCTACATAGCTACTGTGGAGCACACTAACTCCAGATAGTTAGCCACCTGTGGTACAATGCAGAGACCAGTACCCTTAGTGTAGGAAAACCTAGCTGCATGGTTTAGCACCCGTGTCCTAAGCTTGTGACTCGGGTGCATATTTAAACTTTAAAGGTCTCAGCTTCCCAATCTGCAAAATGGGTACAGTACAATTTCACTAACTGCTCTGAACAATTAAGTGAAAAAATATTATAAAAAAGTATACAAACTCTTATGCATCGTGGACATGCATAAAATGTGTGGAATATTTTCATTAATTCAATATGTATAATTTCATTATTTTTCTCTATACATATCACCAGGATTTGTTTATTTGCATTCTTATAGGGATGAATATAAATCATAGAAAGAGGGCCTGAACGTGAGCAGCGAGCATCTGGCGGAGAGAGCTAGTCAACATGGAATGCTGAAGGCACAACGTAGGTGCAGAGCAGTAAGATTCTCCTGGGAGGCTCATATGCCTTACATAAATTTGATGGGGCTTTAAAAAATAATGTAAAAATAAATCCACTAAATTTATTGAGTGGCTTTTTATAAACATAGCAGGTACTACAATTAATCGCAAATATGTTTTGTCATAGTTTTCCTTTCAAAATTATTACATCACTAGGGAGATACACCAAGGCAAACCCTGTAAACAGTTCAGATTCGGTTACATTTCCTGAGGGAGAGAGGTACTTCCAAGAACTCTAGATGTCATTGAATCTCATTTCATCCTCACAAAAACTCCATAGGTAGGTTAGGACCCTTGTTATTAATAAAGAAACTGAGGCTCAGAGATATTAAACCACTTGCCCATCTGGGGCACACAGTGAGATGATGGTGGAGCCAGGACATAAATTCAAGCCTTCAAACTCCAAATCCAGTTTCCTTCAGGGTACACAACATCTTCCACTAGGGTGTACTGAGCATTTGCAGAGGCTTTGAGATGTCACACGCGGCCCAAAAGAAAAGGAGAGAGAATAATAATAATGCCCCTGGCAGCTGGAGCGAGGATGCTACTTGGCACTGGGCTAATCAGATTGTTCCGCAGAGGACTCAGCCGTGGCTGGTCCTGAACGAGTGGGAGTGTGGATGACTGATGGGCTTGCAAAGGTCTAGGGAATTAGACTGGAATAGAATGGGAGGGAGAAGTGTTCTGGGATGGGAATAAGCTAATCAACTTACTTGGATGAAGCATCTGTGCTGTGCGAGGAAAGAAAAGATCAAAAGCGAGGCTGAAAGAATAAGCTGGAGCCAAGCTGTGGAGAGCCCTGCGTGCTGTTCTCAAGTGTTTGCGCTCCATCCTGATGGCAGTGGGAAAGGTACTGAAGTGTCGCATCATAAAAGAGCCTATTGCATACCGCCAGTTTTATGTTTGCAGATGATTAGGCTAGTAAGGTGCCAGAGATTCATATTTGTTTGTATTTTAGCTAAAAAAGTAATACCATTGCAATTTGCACATATTAGCATTTCACCAATAATTCTTGAAGCCTGGCTTGTACATTTTATATAGTTATCAGAGCTCCAAGCACTCTAAACCAGTGATTCACAAAGTGGGCGCTACCGCCCCCTGGTGGGCGCTGCAGCGATCCAGGGGGGCGGTGATGGCCACAGGTGCATTTGGGGGCGATGAGTAACTGCTATTAAAATTTAAAAAAAATTAATTTCCAGGGGCTGAGTAATATTTTTTCTGGAAAGGGGGCGGTAGGCCAAATAAGTTTGGGAACCACTGCTCTAAACAATCTTCAAAATCTTTACTAACAGTACTGCCGTTGCTGCAGCAAGTCAAGCTACTTGTCTGTCCTGACTCATTCTCATAAAGGAGTGTATATGACTTAGAGCCATGGTCGGCAAACTGCGGCTTGAGAGCCACATGCGGCTCTTTGGCCCCTTGAGTGTGGCTCTTCCTACGCCTTAGGAGTACCCTAATTAAGTTAATAACAATGTGCCTACCTATATAGTTTAAGTTTAAAAAATTTGGCTCTCAAAAGAAAGTTCAATCGTTGTACTGTTGATATTTGGCTCTGTTGACTAATGAGTTTGCCTACCACTGACTTAGAGGATTACTGCTTCTGTTGTGGGACCTGCCACCGTCATCCAATAATCTCTGATATCCATTGCTTTTCCTTTTGCCTTTTCCTTAGGATTTTGCTACTTTCAGTTGAAAAAGGAAACTGCATGTTCTCTGACACTCTTTCTATGCTACCACTACTTTTTTTTCCAGTTTTAATTTATTTTTTATTATTTTTTCTTTATTGATTAAGGTATTAAATATGTGTCTTTATGCCCCCATTGCCTCCCCACCCCCACCCCCTATATGCATGCATACAAGTCCTTTGGTTGATCTCTCCCCTTTATCCCCACCCTCCCCTACCTTCCCTCTGAGGTTTGACGGTCTGATCGATGCTTCTCTGTCTCTGGATCTGTTTTTGTTCATCAGTTTATGTTGTTCATTATATTCCACAAATGAGTGAGATCATGTGATATTTATCTTTCTCTGACTGGCTTATTTTGCTTAGCATAATGCTCTCCAGCTCCATTCATGCTGTTGCGAATGGTAGGAGTTCCTTCTTTTTTTTTACCGCAGTTAGTGGCTACCATTTCTGTGTTCAAATGCCAGGCCCTGAACCAGAGGCCTAACCTGTAGGAGGTACTATGGATCTTATGTTTATGTGTTGAAAATGAAGAAAGAGTAAGTGGCTGGCCCAAAGTCACATAGTAAGCAGAAGAGTCCAAAAAGAAGAGCTAGAATTTAAATTTAACTCAGTTTAACTGTAGCTACACACCTAGAGCAGGAGTTGGCAAATGACAGCCCACAGACGGATCCTGGCCACTGCCTGCTTAGTAAGTGGAGTTTGACTAGAGCACAGCCATGCTCATCCGTTTACTCACTGTCCACGAAGGCTTTCAATTGCTAACTGCAGCAGAGATCTTATTGCCAGCAGGGTCTAACATACTTATCATCTGCCCTGTACAGAAAACATTTCTGACCCCTGTTCTAGAAGGAAAGGAAAAGGTCCCTAGGCCAGAATGTACACACCACACGGGACTGTTTTACACTGCTATCTTTCCCCAAAATTGCCTTGATAACTGCATTTAGTTATAGTAGGGCTTGAAAGGCAAATATTGGGCTCTGACTGTCTTTTATTTTTAGACAAATTGTCCAAGTCCAATTAACATTTTTGGAGCTTTTCCTACATGCAGGCGTTGCATTCAACCAAGATGGTGCCTGCTGCCGAGAAACTGATAATCTAACAGAGGATGCAGCTGTGCGTGCTGCAAACTCTCACATGAAGTAGACTGAGAAAGGGCTACAATGGAGAAATGAAGAAATCACTGTGGGATCACGAAATAGGAGGGGGATTTCCTGCTTAAAGGTCGGAGAGATTAGAAAAACCTCTCAGGAGAAGATGAATTTGAGCTAAACCTCAAAACAAATTTTACTAAGGGAAGTACTGAGAGGGACACGGCAAAGGCATGGACATGTGGAGGGTAGGGAGTGAGAAGAATTAGTCATGGGGCATGGTGTGCCCTGAGGTGGGTGTTCAGGCTAGGGTAAATTATGAGGACTGCAAAAGCTTCCCATGGACCTACATACTGTATGCATGCTTCTGTGTATGTATATTTGTATATGTGAATTTATTTATAGTAAAGCAAAATGAATCAAGGACCTATAAGATGCTATCAATCCAAAGAAGGATTTATACAATATGTTTAGCTGGTAAGTAAAAAGTAATTAAACTTTAAAAACACTGCATTATAAAGTATCAATAAATAACACACATATGAAAATAATTATGCAGCATTATTTATAAGTGGAAAAATACTGGAAACAACCTGAATACCTGTCAGTAGGGAAATGTGTGAAATAGTTAAGGCATGTCCACTCTGTGGAATATGATTCAGCTATTAAAGATAATGCACTGAATCCACTTGTGTTAACATGGCA